ATATATATATATATATATATACACACACACACACACACGTCGATAAGTTACATACAGATCTAAACTGTGTGATCGTGAGTTTAGCCATGAAGAATATATGGTGGCGAATTTTAAAGTGAAACTATATCACAGGTTGTATTGTAATAACAGAATAGAGAAGAATAAGTCGTCTTTACAATTGTGTTCTGAAGTAACTGAATCAGCCTGTGTGGACTTTGACTAAAATAGATGATTATTTAAAGCTCTGGGTGCAAATGTGATAATTAACTGTGTAACTAACATTTTTATATATCTTTGACTTTGTTTTAATATATTATTTTAAAACAAGTGGATTGTGCGCTGTTTGTTTATTGTTGAAATTTATCGCCAAAAAGTCAGACACTGCTGTAAAGAATCCTGGACATCCATAAATTCTAAAAAAATTACAAGCTGTAAGTACAGATGTTAATGTTACCATCATAATAGTAAGGTACACATTACCACAAGGGGGGCTTCAAAGTATGTGTAGATGCTCAAAACATACTGTTTAAAAACATATAACCAAGCCCGAAATGGACATCAAACTATCATTGTAAAACTAATTCGTTTTATTTCTATTATATATAGATATAGTTTTTCGTACAGATTTTTTTTAATAATGAATATTGATCATCGATCAGTGTTGTTATTGTATGAGCAACATAACATATTTATGTCTGGTACAATGATTTAAAAAAAATAGGTAGTGAGCGTTTTTTTTTTTTTCTTGAAGCAGCTATTAAAAATTGTTCTCAATATTTTACATGTTCATAGAACTGGTTTGTAGTATGCTCATGTCGTTTTCATAACGAGCCATTAATGTGAACCGAGTAGTGGTGAGTTTAAATTTCTTTACAAAGTTTTTACAAATCATTTTTAGTAATCGTGTAAAGATAGCTGGAAACTTCTGTGTAACTAGCATCGTACTGTGCAATAAGTTAACATTCTTACTGTGGGATTGTGTGTGTGTGTGTGCTCTAAATATGAAAAATACTGTAAAAATGTAATATTTTTTACTTTTTGACTTGTAATGTAAGTGTATTCTCTCATATAGCAGCTTCGTTGTGGGGTCCTTACTCCCCAGTTTTACCCTTTATGACAACTAATAATGATGTTTAGTTTATCCATTTTCTATTGGTGCTTAGTTTATCCATTTTCTATTGGTGCTTAGTTTATCCATTTTCTATTGGTGCTTAGTTTATCCATTTTCTATTGTTGTTTAGTTTATCCATTTTCTATTGGTGCTTAGTTTATCCATTTTCTATTGGTGTTTAGTTTATCCATTTTCTATTGTTGTTTAGTTTATCCATTTTCTATTGGTGTTTAGTTTATCCATTTTCTATTGGTGTTCACAAGTTCTCCATGGTTATCACACACCCGTACACTGGATGGAAGTTGTGTAAATCATGTAAATTCATGATTAATAAAAGATACAGATCTCCAAGCGATCATGTAGTTGAGAATCTTAAAATATTATTAACAGAAAAAGACGAAAACGTCAGTTTGGTCGATTTGTCGAGGTTGTATGTTGAAAAAGTGGGTTTCAATGCATTGTGAAAGTGTCCGAGATGTCTTAATAGACCATTAAACAGAGTTACACTGTTTCTCCTTTATCTGTGATTTGAATACGTAACACCTCCCGGGTTGAGATCGACCTAGTCCTTCCAGCGAGTTCACATCCAGTTAGTGAACTGATAAAGAAGCCGGGATTACAAAGGGGGCAAAACTTGTTATGTAATCTGTATAATTGGGTAGAATGGACCCGAATATTGGCCATGACATTGGTTTAGTAGGCCAGCACTTCTGAACGTGGTAGCAGTTGGCAGTACAGAGCTGGAAGTATGGACGGAATCATTAAGCAGTTGTCAGTGTTCATGGTAGGTTACTTGTTGGGGAAATTAATTCATAATCAATGTACATTGACGGTCTGTTTTGTTTGATAAAATATCATAAACTCTGTGTTTGAATTTGAAGTTTAACTTTGAGTTTACAGTGACCGTTTGAACTCGTAAGTTAACCTGACAGGCTATATAAAGAGGGCTAGTTTCATTACTACTGTAATATTGTTAAATGTATAAAGCCCAGTTGTGTTTGTGTTTAAACATTTATACATTTAACAATATTACAGTAGTAATGTGACTGGGTTTCGGTAAACAAAACATACAAGGCACAAAGTAAGTCGCATATCTTGAATTACGTAACAATGAAGCGAGATCAACAAAACCTGCATGTAGTCAAGAAAGTTTTCAAACATTAGACTTTCTCCTGTTTAACACACAGGCTTAACCTTAAACACAACTGGCCATTTTTAAAGTTAAAATAACGACCTCAGCTGCACATGGTAAAGTTTTATGTTTCCTGGACAAAGACTTGAGTTATTCCCATGTACTTACATTTCAGAGAAAAAAAGTTTCGCGTTCGTATTAAAAATAAATTATTGAAAATATGAATTCGACCGAACCGTGCTACAACACGCCCACGTCATAAGTCACTGTATTATTTGATGAGAAGATCCTGTATGTGATAACGTTTTAAATGCAGGAGTAGATGTACTCGTGTGTTCAGTTTCGTGACATTGTATCGGGTGTTGTATAAATATTTGTTACACTGGTATTATACAACTGTCAAGTTTTATCCCAACTGTCCCTGTTCGGTATATACAACTGTCAAGTTTTATCCCAACGTGTGTCTGTTCGGTATATACAATTGTCAAGTTTTATCCCAACGTGTGTCTGTTCGGTATATACAACTGTCAAGTTTTATCCCAACGTGTGTCTGTTCGGTATATACAACTGTCAAGTTTATCCCAACGTGTGTCTGTTCGGTATATACAACTGTCAAGTTTACGTGTGTCTGTTCGGTATATACAACTGTCAAGTTTTATCTCAACTGTCCCTGTTCGGTATATACAACTGTCAAGTTTTATCTCAACTGTCCTTGTTCGGTATATACAACTGTCAACTTTTATCCCAACTGTCCCTGTTCGGTATATACAACTGTCAAGTTTTATCCTAACTGTCCCTGTTCGGTATATACAACTGTCAAGTTTTATCCTAACTGTCCTTGTTCGGTATATACAACTGTCAAGTTTTATCCCAACTGTCTCTGTTCGGTATATACAACTGTCAAGTTTTATCCCAACTGTCCCTGTTCGGTATATACAACTGTCAAGTTTTATCCCAACTGTCCCTGTTCGGTATATACAACTGTCAAGTTTTATCCCAACTGTCCCTGTTCGGTATATACAATTGTCAAGTTTTACGATTTCTTAGATTTAGAGATTAGTGTAAAATCTAATCCAGCTAGACACGTGATGTTGTTGTTTTGTTAGATTTAGAGATTAGTGTAAACTCTAATCCAGCTAGGCACGTGATGTTGTTGTTTTGTTAGATTTAGAGGTTAGTGTAAACTCTAATCTAGCTAGGCACGCGGTGTTGTTGTTTTGTTAGATTTAGAGATTAGTGTAAACTCTAATCTAGCTAGGCACGCGGTGTTGTTGTTTTGTTAGATTTAGAGATTAGTGTAAACTCTAATCCAGCTAGGCACGTGATGTTGTTGTTTTGTTAGATTTAGATATTAGTGTAAACTCTAATCCAGCTAGGCACGCGATGTTGTTGTTTTGTTAGATTTAGAGATTAGTGTAAACTCTAATCCAGCTAGGCACGCGGTGTTGTTGTTTTGTTAGATTTAGAGATTAGTGTAAACTCTAATCCAGCTAGGCACGCGGTGTTGTTGTTTTGTTTTTATTCATCTTCTTACATCTTATTACTTATTTTGTTTCACAGCTGGATGCTTTCTCCAATCCTCGGCTAGCGAACGAGGTTGAGAAGAGTCGAGAGGATCTTCGGAAAACTGAAACACAGCTAAGTATGTTCTGGTGTGGTCGTGACGTTCAGCTTAGTATGTTCTGGTGTGGTAGTGACGTTCAGCTTAGTATGTTCTGGTTTGGTAGTGACGTTCAGCTTAGTATGTTCTGGTGTGGTAGTGACGTTCAGCTTAGTATGTTCTGGTTTGGTAGTGACGTTCAGCTTAGTATGTTCTGGTTTGGTAGTGACGTTCAGCTTACCAAACCAGAACATACTAAGCTGAACGTCACTACCAAACCAGAACATACTAGTGACGTTCAGCTTAGTATGTTCTGGTTTGGTAGTGACGTTCAGCTTAGTATGTTCTGGTGTGGTAGTGACGTTCAGCGGAGTACGTTCTGGTGTGGTAGTGACGTTCAGCGGAGTACGTTCTGGTGTGGTGGTGACGTTCAGCGGAGTACGTTCTGGTGTGGTAGTGACGTTCAGCGGAGTACGTTCTGGTGTGGTAGTGACGTTAGACTAGAGTCAGAAGTCTGACTTAACTTGTGAGTGTAAATGCTAGAAACTATATGTTACCCATCTGTAGTTAAAACCACATTTAAATAATGTGAGAAGTGAGTACTTGCACCCAATCCGTGGTCAGTGTAGACAACTTCACCATGTGGTTCAATAAATGCTGATGCAAGTACTTGTATGGTAAGAAATAAGTTGATACATAGAGAGGACTAAAGGTAAGATTTGTTAAACACAAACTGTTGAGGCTAGAACAATCTAAGGAAGAAAACAGTAGAACTTGGCAAACCTCATTGTGTATAAGAGTTTAGATGGATAAATAAACATGGAAAAATAGCTGGTTCAACAACCAGATGGCTGAATAATGAAGTGAACAATAAGGAGGTTGAATTTTACAGTGATTTACTGATGAAGTAGACAACCAGATGGATGAACAGTCACAATGGCTGAATGATGAAGTAGACAGCCAGATGGATGAACAGTCACAATGGCTGAACGATGAAGTAGACAACCAGATGGGTGAATAATGAAATGAACAATAAGGAGGTTGAATTTTACAGTGATTTACTGATGAAGTAGACAACCAGATGGATGAACAGTCACAATGGCTGAATGATGAAGTCAACAATTAGATGGCTGAATAATGAAGTGAACAATAAGGAGGTTGAATTTTACAGTGATTTACTGATGAAGTAGACAACCAGATGGATGAACAATCACAATGGCTGAATGATGAAGTAGACAATTAAATGGCTGAATAATGAAGTGAACAATAAGGAGGTTGAATTTTACAGTGATTTACTGATGAAGTAGACAACCAGATGGATGAACAGTCACAATGGCTGAATGATGAAGTAAACATACCAGATGGATGAACAGTCACAATGGCTGAATGATGAAGTAGACAATTAAGTGGCTGAATAATGAAGTGAACAATAAGGAGGTTGAATTTTCACAGTGACTTACTGATGAAGTAGACAACCAGGAGGTTGAATGTTCACAATGGCTTACTGATGAAGTAGACATACAGTCACAATGGCTGAATGATGAAGTGAACAACCAGGAGGTTGAATTTTCACACTAATTTACTGATGAAGTGAACCACCAGGAGGCTGAACGTTCACAATGGCTTACTGATGAAGATGACAACCAGATGGTTGAATTTTCATAGTGAATTAAAATGAACAGCTGCAATGACTGAAGTGTACAACCAGATGGTTGAATGTTTACATTGGCTTACTGATGAAGTGTACAACCAGATGGTTGAATGTTTACATTGGCTTACTGATGAAGTGTACAACCAGATGGTTGAATGTTTACATTGGCTTACTGATGAAGTGTACAACCACTTGTGTGTCTGTATATATATTAGGTTTCATTGATTAATGGTGGAGAGAAATACAATCTATTAATCAACATTATCTCTCTATATAAATAATATAACAATTCTTATACAACTGATGTGTTTTATAGTTGTGATTTATTTTCTCTGGTACAAATTTAAACACCTTTTCTTTCTACCTAACAAAACTAGCATGACCATTCTCATTAAAAATGGCTAGTTACTTATATTACATTTTTAATAAGAATCAACAGAGTATTCAAATTAATCAATCTTCTGTTCCTCATTCTGTCACTGTAGCTGTTCATTGATAAGCCAGTGTGAACATACAATCTAGTGGTTGTACACTTCATCAGTAGGCCAATGTTAACATACAATCTAGTGGTTGTACACTTCATCAGTAGGCTAGTGTTAACATACAATCTAGTGGTTGTACACTTCATCAGTAAGCCATTGTGACTGTATGTCTACTTCATCAGTAAGCCATTGTGAACATACAATCTAGTGGTTGTACACTTCATCAGTAGGCCAGTGTGAACATACAATCTAGTGGTTGTACACTTCATCAGTAGGCCAGTGTTAACATACAATCTAGTGGTTGTACACTTCATCAGTAGGCCAGTGTGAACATTCAATCTAGTGGTTGTAAACTTCATCAGTAGGCCAGTGTTAACATACAATCTAGTGGTTGTACACTTCATCAGTAGGCCAGTGTGAACATACAATCTAGTGGTTGTACACTTCATCAGTAGGCCAGTGTTAACATACAATCTAGGGCATGAAGACATCCCGAGAAGCGAAATAAGTAGACAAGGTGAAAGTAATGACATCTCGAGAATACACGTAAACATTTGAAGAACAGACCTTCTAAAAATTAAGACACTTACATCTAGCTAATTCATCCTTGCGAACAAGGTCCAACTCTTCTCTTACAATCCCTAGTTCTTCTGCATGGCACTTCTTTAAAGTTTCAACTTCTTCCTGGTACTGATCTACAAATTATTAAAGCAACTGACAATTCACATAATGTTTCAATTACAAAGTTTTCACTAACACTAAAGAATCGCTACAAACTAAACAGGTGTAAAATACAAAGATCATGTTCTTTATAATGTAAGGACTGAATATAAAACATGACAATGATAGCAGATCAGGTTCTTTATAATGTAAGGACTGAATATAAAACATGACTTTATGATAGCAGATTATGTTCTTTATAATGTAAGGACTGAATATAAAACATGATTTAATGATAGCAGATCAGGTTCTTTATAATGTAAGGACTGAATATAAAACATGACTTAATGATAGCAGATCACGTTCTTTATAATGTAAGGACTGAATATAAAACACAACAAGGACAAACTGAGAAGTGAAGCAAGTAGTCATCCTAAGAAGTAAGACAGCTAGACATCTTAACAATTAAGAAGTGTAATCATCCAAAGCAATAAGACATGTAGACATCCTGAGAAATAAGATAAGTAGATATCCTAATAAGTAAGGCATGAAAACATACTGAGAAATAAGATAGGTAAATATCCTAATAAGTAAGGCATGAAGACATCCTGAGAAATAAGATAAGTAGATATCCTAATAAGTAAGGCATGAAGACATACTGAGAAATAAGATAAGTAGATATCCTAATAAGTAAGGCATGAAGACATACTGAGAAATAAGATAAGTAGATATCCTAATAAGTAAGGCATGAAGACATACTGAGAAATAAGATAAGTAGATATCCTAATAAGTAATTTATAATGTAAGGACTGAATATAAAACATGACTTAATGATAGGAACATGATCTGCTATCATTAAGTCATGTTTTATATTCAGTCCTTACATTATAAAGAACA